ATCTATCGCCCCACATTTTCGATTCATTATTCCTCATAGATTCAGTCCTTTTCATGCCAGTTCCAGAATACTGCGTACAATATTATAAAAAAATACCAAAGAATATACAAAAAAACACGTTTTACGGTTGAAGACCCCTTTAACACTTTGACTGCCACATCGCCCATATATGGGTGACAGAACTTTTAACAGTAGAACTATAACAACGAATTCTCAAGTTGAAATGTTGAAGAAAATAAATTTTAATAGGCTTCGTAAATTTTAATGAGGTTACAAAAGTAACTGCTACGACAACTTTTAAGTTGTGTAGTGTACAATTGCCTAAACTGAAAATTTTGGTCTCGTAAACAATTTTAGGATTTTTGACTGGCAGTTAACGTGTTAAGAACGTCACTTTCCGTAATGGACCGAATTTTATACCAAAATTCTCGTTACAAAATCAACGTCGATTTATTCTAAAACGAAGATTCGTACAAAGATCTGTCGCCCCACATTTTCGACTCATTTTTCCTCATAGATTCAGTCCCTTTCATGTTAGTTCCAGAATACTGCTTGCAATATTATAAAAAAATACCAAAGAAAACATAAAAACACGCGTTTTACAGTAGAAGATCCCTTTAAGAACTACACTTTCCGTGATGAACCGAATTTTATACCAAAACACTTGTAATAAAATTAACGTCGATTTATTCTAAAATGAAGGTTCGTGCAACGATCTATCGCCCCACATTTTCGACTCATTCTTACCTCTCTTAAGCTAGCAGGATCAAAGCAGCAGAATCACATCGGACCTAGTGGAATATTTAGTACTTATTTTGTACTAATTTGTACCACAAATAATAATTTTGTACCTCCTGCCGTTTTCAAAAAAATCGTGGCGCTGCTAGCTTAATATTAAGCTGGCAGGACCAAAAGTTAAAATTAATGAAAATGAATAAATCAAAGCGGATACGTTTAGTGCTGAATTTGTACTAATTTGTATCACCAAAAGAAATTTTGTACCTCTTACCGTTGTCAAGGAAATCGGAACGATGCGAGTTTAACGTTATGCTGGCAGGACCAATGTTAAAATTAATAAAAATGAATAAATCAAAGTGGATACATTTAGTGCTGAATTTGAACGCGTTTTATTGTAGAAGACCCTTTTAAGAACGTCACTTTCCGTAATGGACCGAATTTTATACCAAAATTCTCGTTACAAAATCAACGTCGATTTATTCTAAAACGAAGATTCGTACAAAGATCTGTCGCCCCACATTTTCGACTCATTTTTCCTCATAGATTCAGTCCCTTTCATGTTAGTTCCAGAATACTGCTTGCAATATTATAAAAAAATACCAAAGAAAACATAAAAACACGCGTTTTACAGTAGAAGATCCCTTTAAGAACTACACTTTCCGTGATGAACCGAATTTTATACCAAAACTCTTGTAATAAAATTAACGTCGATTTATTCTAAAATGAAGGTTCGTGCAACGATCTATCCCCCCACATTTTCGACTCATTCTTACCTCTCTTAAGCTAGCAGGATCAAAGCAGCAGAATCACATCGGACCTAGTGGAATATTTAGTACTTATTTTGTACTAATTTGTACCACAAATAATAATTTTGTACCTCCTGCCGTTTTCAAAAAAATCGTGGCGCTGCTAGCTTAATATTAAGCTGGCAGGACCAAAAGTTAAAATTAATGAAAATGAATAAATCGAAGCGGATACGTTTAGTGCTGAATTTGTACTAATTTGTATCACCAAAAGAAATTTTGTACCTCTTACCGTTGTCAAGGAAATCGGAACGATGCGAGTTTAACGTTATGCTGGCAGGACCAATGTTAAAATTAATAAAAATGAATAAATCAAAGTGGATACATTTAGTGCTGAATTTGTACGCGTTTTACGGTAGAAGACCCTTTTAAGAATGTCACTTTCCGTAATGAATCGAATTTTATACCAAAACTCTCATAACAAAATCAATGTCGATTTATTCTAAAGCGAAGGTTCGTACAAGGATCTGTCGCCCCACATTTTCGACTCATTTTTCCACATAAATTCAGTCCCTTTCATGTCAGTTCGAGAATACTCTATGCAATAAGATATTTAACGGTTCGAACGCGAAGAATGGACCGAGTGAATGCCGTTCGATTCGATCGGGGCACGCAACGGACGTGTCAACAACGCCGGAATAAAATATCTTGACGCAGGTGTCGCAAAGCCCCCAGTCAGTTGCACGTTCGTGCCGCGTTTCTATTCAATCGCCGATACGTTTAGTAAATCCAACGAAAATTACTCTCGCGGCTCTCGTATTAATCCCCGGTACACGGCAATGACCGTACAAGCGGCGCGGTGCTTGCTCTTCCATTCCGGTAAACGTATCGCGGCCGGAATCTGCTACGCGGCGTGTTACGGTGCCGCGGACGTAATCACGCTGTGTGAACATGTAAATCCAAAACGATCCGCCGCTCATTCCGAAACGCTAACATCGATGGCGCGGCCGCGTCACGCGTATTTACGTTTCATCCCTTTCAGGAGTCGTTCGATCACACCCCCCACTCCTCCGACTATCGCGAGGGGAGAGAGAAAAAAAACTGTTCGCGGCGACATCGCGGGAAAACATCGCCCGTTTATCGGCGATCGTGAATTAAATATTCATTGGAATCGATTCGAGCGCGGGGCGTCGTCGATCGAGGCTCCTCCATCTAAGATTCACGAATTTATTCCAGCAACTTTTATCGCAGCGTGAAGGGAACGCTTACGGAGAAATTGTCCCGAATGTTTGTTTATTCAACGCCTACGAAAAATGGCCAAAATTCGAGTTGGAAAAATTTAATTCGAGAGGGTTATATGCAATGCATTCACCCTTTCCTGGACACAGTGAGCCGTGAAAGACTTAAAGCGGCGTGTGACCATCGACGTCGAAGCTTTATAAACTTAATTTTACTAACAATTTTTTAGTAATATCCCTTTTTGTTGGAAATACAAGAAACATGCAAAATACGAAACTATAAATAATTTTAAGGAATACTTTCTGGGCAAAATTAAAATGTTTCAGAGACACACGTTATTTAGAATGATTTACTTCTTCGTGCGTGAAAATTTTTACAGGTTTTCTAGGCTTTTAAAAAATGTTACAAACTGTTTGATAGTAATGTAATAAGAGAGTTGGGAGTTTTTGAAACATTGAAATAAATTCTGCCAAGTATGCAGTTTTATTTGTTAATTTTTCGTCCTTTCGTTTATTTTGATAGAGCCGATTTCTGTTTAACTTTCATTCTCAGATTTACTTGTTTATCGCCCGCGTTTATCGAGTTTCAAATCCTACCGCCGTTCGACTACTACATATTAGTTGCTTGGCGTCCCTGATTGGACCTTTCTTGTCGGTTACAGTGCTGATTGGTCCTTTGACGTTGTACCCCTTCGAGTCCTGCCGTGATCTGGTGGCAATAACGACCGCGTTTCCTAAGGATAGCATCACATGGCCCGATCGATCGGTTCATATCGTATGTAAATAGCTGTTTGTAGCATTAACGTTACGTTTAATTCGTGGTATTCTATGATAAACACGCGTTATTTCGAAACGACAGGACCCCTGAACGTCGATCGAAAGTATTTATCCAAGGACCTGAATCGCGAAGTTTCGACAATATTTTTAACGTGTATCGACTACGCGACGAAATAACGAAATTTAAAATTGCAATGAAACGACAACCCAACTTGGGGAACCGTCTTCGCGGTGTGTTGATTGAACCGAGATTTCCGCGAGCTGAAACAATATTTACGCGGCAATGCAGTCATCGTATCGGGAAAGTATACTGACATGAAAAATGTAGCCTCGAAAATTCTGTTGGAAATATACTACGCCTCATAAAATTCGATTTCGAGATATTTTCGAAGCTCACTTTGCCCAGAAACAGCAGAATTTTTAATGTTTGCTGATCCACGTGGCAAATTCTAAACGTACGATCAGTGGTCTCGAATTTCGCACTTTTGAGGATCGCGGGCGACAGAAGCGAGTATTAAAATAATCAAAAAGTTCTGGACGACAATGAACAGCCGTTTTTATTGCGTCCCTCGAGGGATCCGCAATATTCTGCATGATTCTGCAATTATGAAAAATTTATGCAAGGCGTAAAGCGGGACACGGTCTCCGCGACTTTCCACGTTAAGGTCCCTCCGCAGAAAGGGTTTCAGGGCTGAATGACTTGCTTGGCGCGGCAGTTACTTTTAATTAGAGAGCTCGGACGCTCTATCTTCGAGCGTTTAAGAGCAGAAGAGAACACCGACTTAGCAGCAATTTTTACCCATTAAAACTCGAGGAAGAGTCTCGCGAGACGCGTTCCACGAATAAGACCAAAATCTCCTAGCACACGGCGGGTCTTCTCGTCCTTATCGTTCGCGAAATTATTGAGACGATTCTCGTCCTTTTCTTAATCTTGAAGCTCGACTCACTTTTAAAGCGGAGTATCTTTCTAAAATACGTAAAAATCAAAACGACGAAACAATACTTCGAACAAAAGACGAAATCGAAAGAGTGAAAAATCTACAAAAAAATACTCTCGTAATATGAAGCTATCGTTCCAAATAAATCGATACGATTTTCTGGATATGTCGCGAGAATTAAAACATCGAAACGTTGTTTCAAACGGTTATTTCTTTTTTTTTTTTTAATTTTCTTTCGGATAAAATTTGTCCTGGTTTGATTTAGAAGTTTAACTCTTCGGAATAGAAATACCAATTCGTTGATTGTGTACCAGGCTGGTAAACTATAAACAACGGTCGCGTATATATAGATGGAACCAATTTATTGTTTGCTGAATGTTTCGCTCGAAAGAGTGAATGCAGTCATTGAAACGTGGAAACGCGTTGCTTTATTCTCTAAAAACTATCGTAACGGTCTGTGTCCTCTTTCGGTCGAGCGCTTTATCGCGGTTTAGAGACAGCTGTTTAACCGTTCCTAAGAAAAATCGGGGATCGATTGTGGAATTTTATCGTTTTACGAGACTCACCCTTCGACTGTTGCCGTCCTTTGGGTTCAGATTGGGCTCCGTGGTGACTGTGCCAAAAATAGTGGGCTGTAACAGAAAATAAGTTGCTTTTATTGTATCCATCGAACTGTACTTGAACAAAGACAAAATTCTCTTATTATTACTCCGAGCAAACGTCATTTAAAAGAAATTCAACAGCAGAGTATCGACGGGAGAGAGCATTATAATTGTATAAATATTTTTAAATTCGATACGGTAAATATTTTTTCACCAAAAGTCACGTGGATCCGAGCAAATAACACGCGTAAACGTGCATTCGATGTCGCGTTGTCGTCGAAAAAAAAATATGCAAAGAGTAGGAGTGAAAGTGAGTCAATTAGAGGGTTAAAAAGCGTAGCGATCTGCCATTAGGAGGCAGCAATTACATTTCCCAGCTTTTAGCCGGCGAGATATCGCGCCTTTTGACATCGATCGACGGGCTGTCAATTCGAAATAGAGGCGCGATTCCGGCCCGTGAATTCGTCCGGATGTTACGCGTAAAACTGCGAATCCCGTAACGCCGCTGTAAAAGCTGTCGCCTCGTAAATCTATGGAATGCCATCTATGCAGTTCGGTGGCCGCAGTCGCGCCATTAACTGACCCTGATCGAGAAAATGCATTCCCCTTTGCATCGAGCAAGAAGAAAGCGTCGATGGAAAATCGGGGACGATACATGGTTGTCCGCGCGAGCATGGTACCTTCCTTCGGGTTCGATTCTTCGTGGCAATATAAATCAAACAATCCGTTTTCCATTTTTCAATACGAGTCTACCGATGGGAATATAAATATGCAGAAAAATATCACGGTAAACCTTCAGCTACGATTCTTTGTAAAATATGCAGGCTGCTCGACCAAAACAATTTTAATGGGAGATTCTAGAGACCAAAATAAGACGAAAATCAAGAATACCAATTTGTTGATTGAGGCTTCGTTGAAAAATTATTAATTAAATTTGTCCACCTACACGAATTTTTTTCTTGAAAGTGCGTAGGATTTCAGAGGTATGTCTATTCACCAAAAATGATTGTAATTGACCCCCGCAATTGAAAATAATTTTTCCAGAATGATTTGAAACTTTTCAATTTCTTCGAAAAATTTAACACTGTCGATTTTTCTTAGACATTCGTTTTTCATTTTTAATAAATTGGTTTGACGCTGTACGGAAAAGTTGTTTAGTAGTTTTTTGTAGGTATCCATGAGCTCTACTTCACCACTAAATTTCAATTAAATCCATTGATTATTGTGGAAGTTATGGACGTTTGAAAATTGAACCACTTTTATGGGGGTTTTCTAAGTTTACGGGGCTAGGGAACAACTTTTTGAATATTTTTTGTGGAATTTCTACACATTCTTCGTCAAAATACGCGTTGTTTACATTTTGAAATTTTAAAATCCTCCAATCCGTTCAGGAGTTATGATGTTTTGAACATACGCTTGAAATTTCAGTGAAACATGTCGATGTATAGTCAGACATTATATTTTCGGTAAAGAATTTTATTCTCGAAAGTCCGTAGGAATTCGGGGATATGTCTATTGACCAAAAATGATTGTAATTGACCCCCGTAATGAAAAATAATTTTTTTAGAACAATTTGAAATATTTTAATTTTGTCGAAAAATTTTCTGATCGGTATGGAACTTTAAACGTTAATGATTTATTAACGGAGCCTCAATCAACAAATTGGTATTCTTAATTTTTGTCTTATTTTGGCCTCTAGAATCTCCCATTCAAATTTTTCCCAAAGATGACCGAATGTTTGTTAAATTATGGAATGTACTCGTTTTCAGCGTTAAGATGGAAGCGAACGGCGATTATTATATTAGTTAAATTCATAATAGCCGCGATTGCCAAGAGCTTGGCGCCTCGTAAATTCGCCGTGCGTCGATTCGTGCTTAAATCATCCGTAGGAAAAGTCAATCGAGTCCAGGCGCGGAAACGTTCGCTATAAAGCACAAGCACCTCTTCGGATCGGTCGATAATTTCGTAACGTTAACGGAGAATGATCCTCCTCGCCCGACGATACTACCGCTCGAAGCGTTTTGATCAAGCCAAAGACAGTCCTGATCCATTAAGCGTCCTTTTATTTCCGAAATAACAGTTCCGCGCGGCAGTTTTCCACGAACGCCGCGCGATACGGCGGAATTAAATAGCGCACAACAAATCGTCCTCCCGGCTTCCACGGGCCGAACGTATCGCCAGGATTTGCAGTTTATGCGACGATAAAAAATGAAATTGGACCAAGGTTCCCCCGGTTTTACGCGGTTCGTACGGTGTTAGACAACTATAAACACCGACGAAAGCAGTAAACCGAGGACTCGTGCTTTTCGTTGCAATAACGAAAACGATATTCGCGATAGAGGGTTCTGATGACATCCAGCATTCCTCTTTTAAGTCCAAGAGGCTGAAAATAGACGCTCGCGACTACATCAAACGGCTGTACCATTATCGCGTCAGCCCCTCTATTATAAGAAGAGACAAAGTTTCTGCAATCACAACTCTTACAGCTTGCCCAATATTTCGATCGTCTCACGATAAGAACGTTTAAATGCTCGTTTAACACTAGATTTACGGGCATTGATCGCACGTATATTTATTGATACCTTTCATGTTGACGATTACCTTAACTGAATAAAGACATTTTTTGAAAATATCTCGAGATCTAATAACTTTTTTGCCATGGTACCCTAATTATTTTTTACGTAGAATGAACAGAAGAATCGATCTGTGTAAAGAAAAATATGCATTTTTATTTAAAGGAATGATGCAATTGTTAATTGCACATGCACTGCTGCATCTAAAAAAAATTTTAAGGCCTACAGATGTAGTGCTCTTCGAACCATTTATCTTTCTCCTTTGGCATTTTTTCGTAAATGCAATAATAACGGAGTTAGGACTTGAAACAATTGCGTGGACCACCCTGTATAACAGTTTGTATTACGCTCGATTATTTTAAATAAAACTTGAACTGCTGGACAGTTTATCCTTTCAGTTTTAATGTATATCCAACCAGAGTACTTATAGCAAATATTACCGCTGAATTTGCGTTAGAATTAAGAGAATTATTAATTTCTCACTTTTCATCGATTTAACAGTCTCCTGGTTTAAGAGGCTCCACTAATTTTTTAATTACTGCAACGTCGAAAAGGTTTCGTACACCCGAGAACGAAGTATCGAATAAACGGTTGCAATTCGTTCCGTCGGATCGATATTACATTTCTGGGAGATAAATCTGCCCAGGTTGGATGTTTTACATTCTGCATCGGTGAATCGGGTTTCCAGTTATTGCGTGCGCGTTATGGCAATCGCGGAAATGAATTAAATCTCCGGAAACACGATTACTATTATTCATCCGTTGTTTGTACAAACCCCGGGCGGCACTCAAATTCCGTGAACTCGCGTGCCGTTATCAAACACGGTCGATCGTAAAACGGTCGAAGGAAAAGGGCAAGAATTTAAAGCCAAAAATCAATAATGAATCGAACGAGCCGAAACATTTTTCTCAAAGGAGGAATCTTCTATTGTCGTTTATGAAAGCCCCGAAGGTAATTGCTAGCTACGAGCCCCGAGTGGAATCGATACGTCTTGAAAAGCATAAAAACTCACTCAAAGTAATTGTTATCGATATGGACAATGTAGCTTAAGAGCACGATTGGATAGAAAAATCGAGAAAAAAGAAACAAAAAATGGAGAGAGAGAAACTAAATTATTTTCCATCTTCTTAATTCGCGCGACGCCTAGTTAAATAATTAAAAGACTCGAAATTGAAACGTCATCGATCGAAATTCACCCCTTAAATTCCCCTTGAACGATCCAACTAAATTATTCGACCGTAAGCTTCGCGTGTAATTAAATTATTCACCCTTTTCGGTGGGACGACCTTTCTTCCCCGAGCCACGAAAAGTTTATCCTTCCGGTCGCGATAAGGAACGTCTGATAAGGACGAGCTCGTAATTTATGACGTAACAGTCAGGTACGACGTGTCGGACGAGAAAAACAAGTCGAATCGATGCGCTCTGTGGAACATCCGCAACACGGAATCAGCACTGAATCGTTTCCTCCTTATCTTTATCCGCTTCGTCGGATCGGTCAACAATCGCGTCCCTGATTCAAAAAGACGACGAGAAAAAGGGTATTCGGCCGGCTTCCTCGCAGAAATTTCTTCCGGGTCTTTCTTCTCGCGTTCCTATGCTTCTTCTTCCAGTCAGACATTTTTTACGCTCGCGAGAGCCGAGTCCACGTACGGTTGACCCTCTCGAAACGCGTACAATTTTTATTTCATTACGCGTACTTAATCATACAAGGCACCTTTGCACGTTCTCTGGTATTTAGTAAATTTATTTCAACGAACTGCTCGCGCTGAAACAGTGGCATCATTTTCATGGGATTCCTGCCTGAATACAGTCGTATAAAGAAAGTACGACATATCCTCGTTACCAGCATCGTACCAATTTCATGGATTCCTCTTTGTTCGATGTTGAAACCGCGTACAATGGGAAACCGCTCTACGGGAAACAAACAAAAACAAATAATCGAAAATCCGTGGTGGAATTTTACTGCGGGAAACGAGATATTTCTACGAGCGAGACGCTCATATTTTAGACACAAAAGTTAACCACGTGAACTCCACGATGAAAGGAACAACAGCGAACGCGGTACCTTTTAAACAAAGCTAATTAAAAACTGTGTGGAAGAAACGAATCGTGAGAGTCTAATGTTTTGGTATAAAACGACAGTGTACTAGAATTAAAGGAAAGAATAGACATTTCTGGCCAATTGTTTTTTCATTTTCCTCTTTGAACACTTGTTAAAAATAAATATTGATTAAATTTTCACGAGTTGTTCCCCTTTCGTTTAAAACAGAATTCCCGATCATCGAAAATTACGAATAAAATGAAAGCAAATTTAATTGCTCGATGCAGAGGTTCTACGAAAAATTTAAATTTAAATTTTGCACTTTAAACAACGAATTCAGGATTCTGTTAGGAAGTGGTAATATGTGGTCCGTGGCACGTAGTTCCAATAAAAGAGAAACCACGCGATCCTTCAAG